TTCGCCTTTGGTCACAATCTTTCTAAAATTGTTAGTCACTGTGAAGCCATTTCTACCCGGGTGCGCTTTTGCTCTTCCGAGAGAAGATGCGGCACCCATCTAGCGCAGACTTTCCTAAGCTTTAAGTTTTCCTTTAAAATACGAAAAACTGCTGACGAATTAATGTTAGTTAAGTCTGCTATTTCCTCAACTGTATATCTAGCATCATCGGCTATTGTATTTTGAACAGCGACGATTTCTTTTTCGCAATATGCACACAGTGGACGCCCCGAACGGGGGTCATCTTCAATTGATTTTCTACCCTCTTTAAAACGAACTACCCATCTTGCTATTGCTGGATATGAAAGAGCATGCTCTTTATATACTATATCTAAATCGGCTTTTATTTCTGTTGCCGTAAAGCCGAGCAATGAGCGAATTTTGCAATACGCTCTTTGCTCATCAAAAAACTTGTTCTCCTTATCAGTCATTTTTACGCCCAGTATACAGAGTATACCTAATTATGACGTCATTTTAGCAGACCTATACGTCATTTTGAATGTAAAATGACGTCACTAGTTATGCATATTTGCCTAGGCTTTACAGTGGTGTCAGAGACATTTTAATCCGTAACGTAGTTAAAATTTTATATGCCAGTTCTCAGAACTTTTGAAATGCCCCTCGTACTCGTATGGGTGGCAGGGGTATCATTTAGCTTCGGCTCAGGTGAGCTAATGAAGATCTAATATTATGTATTTTAAAAAAATAATAGCAGTACTGATGTTATTTTTACATTGGATCTTTAATTTAGACAATATATGTAAGATATACATTTATAATTCAGGAGAAGACCCATTTAAGGATGTTGCACCCTCCCCAAACCAAACTCCAGAAAAACAGACATGCAAAAATCATGAGAACCAGCATCCCATTCTCTTCTGCCAACAATGTCAGGTACCTGTCTGTGTAGACTGTATAAAAAGTCCTGAACACAAAGACCACTGTCTCACAAACATCCATGAGGCATTCCATGAAAAACTTAAACAAATCAATGAAAAACTGACCCAGGGCCTTATAAAAAAGAACAACATATCAACCAATCTGGAAAAAATGTTATCAGATGTAAATGACATTTGCTCCACCTTGATTTTGAAATCTCAGCATCTTCATCATCTGGTTGACTCAGTCCTACAAAGTAAGCTTGCAGAGATAGAGAGTTACAAGAGATTAATGACTGATATCGCGAGAGATGATTTAAAATGTGTTGATGCATATATTTCTGACTTGATGAAAAAATTAAATGAGAAAGAAAATCAGCAATTGCCAGAGGAGACAATGATTGTTATGAGTAGCTATCAGTTCGAAACTATTGAGATGGACCTTCCTGATTTAATAGAAGAAGAAATAAACAGTTTGGATGTAGAAAACCTTTTTGGAAAATTGACAATTCCCAAATTAAGGCGAGGGGAATCTGGTATTGACCTAAACACTGAATCTGATGAAGAAGAGCCAAAAGAGCCAGAGAAGCCAGAATTACCACAAGTTATAGTAGCAACATCATTCAATTTGCCTAGCAAGGCAAGTCATGTGTCCTCAGTTTCATCTAAAAAAGCCTGGGTTAGTGATTTTGATGGTAACCTTTACTTGACAGATGACATTGGCAATATGCTTAAAAGTCGAAAAACCCTCTCAGGTGGCCTAGGAGTTCATACAGTTTCAAAGGAAGGGGAACTCATTTATATCGACCAAAACAAGAAAATAAAGAAAGTTTCAAAAGAAAATGAAGTTGAGGACTTAGACATATTGATTCCAAAGTCATGGAATCCATGTTGTATTTATTCTTGCCACTCCAACACAGATCTATTAATTGGCATGTGGAAAAGAGAATCTCTTGAAAAGAAGGCCATGTTGAAGCGTTATACAACATCTGGTGAAGAGAGGTGGTTTAAAGATAAAAAGCAACTGATTTATGAGTACCCCCAGTACATCACAGAAAATCGTAACCAGGACGTGATTGTCACCGACTTTTACAAGGCAGCTCTAGTGGTGACGAACCACAAAGGGGACTTTCGATTCAATTACTCAGGACATCCTCTAGAAGAGGAATTTGAACCAAATGGTATAAGTACAGACAGCCAAGCTCATATTCTAGTCAGTGATCTGGTCACCAACTCTGTTCAAGTTATTAGTGAGGACGGAGATTTTTTGTTTTTCCTGCTGAAAGCGGAAATAGATGCAGTGGAAAAGCCATTCAGTTTGAATTTCAATCAGAAATACAATTGTCTCTGGGTTGGACTATTGTCAAGTCCAAGGATGCTAGTTTACAGTGTACAATATGAAAACGATTAGAAAATTAGTTCTGACATACTGAACATATAGGCTGTGGTTTCGTTTTGTGGTGATGTAATTTTCTTATTCACCTTTCAGCATCTAACTGTGCTTTAAGGTTTTTCCACCCTCACAATTTTAATGGTTCAAAGTACAAAAACTCCATTTATTTTCATTTAATATAGTTATTTACTAATTATTACAAAAAGTATAGGTCGCCATATTATTTAGGATAGGAGACATAAATAACTAGAAGTGTATGTCAACATAAAATAATTGTACATTTTTTGTAAAATATTATGATAAAAGTTATGTAAAAACTGGTTCGAATGCATAATTCTGATGCTGAGAGTTCTGATATACTTGCTACTTCTAAAATAATTTTGAATTGTGAATACCAGGGAAACTATTTCACATAAGAAGTACAATATAGAAAATGCCTGAATGAAGATACCTGAGAAGGAGGTATTACCCTTGTAAACATTTAATTAAGTTAAAAAAAAAAAAACATTTTTAAAACTTTTTTACTTAACAATATTTATCATTACACCTATTTAAAAGCATTCTTATAAAAAATATTGTTCTACCTGGCATGAATTTAAATAAATAACAATTTTTTTAAAAACCTAAGTCATAGGAGGATGGAAATACCTTAAAACAAACATTAGGTACTGTAGCTGAACTTTTTCTTACAGGGTCATAATTGAGTGAAATTTTTATTTCTCTTTCATCTGTGCATAGAAAATGATACAGATTTCTTAGACTCTCAGTATATACTTTACTTGTATATTCATTAAGTACTATGGAACAAATTGCTATGGAAAATTTGTGACTGCATACATAGCGTAAATTAATACCATGCAGAAAAAAGTACTTCTACAGTACAGTATGTCTTCTCTATATGATATTATGTACTGTGACAATTTTATATATACATTATTTGCTATCCTTTTAATTACGTCTAATAATGATAGTTTTTTTTTTTAAAATAAGAATTAAGACCCAAGGTTATTTTTCTCGTAAATAATTTTGTGCTTCTTAATTCATTGATGGCTCATATTTCAACAAATCATAATTGAATAGACTGATAAAAGTCAATATTTTTATATGTTGAAATAAATTAGATTTTCAATTTCATTTGTTTTTACAGCTACCAGTTATCAGTTATATTAATCAGTGCAGTAACCCTGTAGAAATACTAAAAGAGATTGATTTTGTGATATGATAAATACACCCCCCCTCTACACAAACACACACACACCAAGGTAACAAATCAAAGATGTGTTGGTGAAACACTGATGCCCACATTTGACAGCTATTGGCAAAGTGTAAAGTTGAAGTTTCTCCCATGTGAACCAAATTTTAAGGTCAAGATTTAGATTAAAAATCTCAGTAACCCAAAAAGGAATATACATTTACATGTGAAAATGAACATGACAAACCCTTGTGTCAAAACCTCATAACATTATAAAGTCATTTATCTTCTATGATGATTTGGCAAATTTTAATGCATTAAGCTGAAACTTTCAAGTCTTCTTAAAGTGGCCTGGACACAGTTGTAACTGATTTTTTAAAACCAGTTTCAATGTTTACAATTCCTACCTAAGGTATCATCTATTGATTAGCAAAAATTTGAACATAATTTGTTGATTAACAAACAAGATTCAAAACTGAAAGTTCTTCATAATGTAAACAAGGCTCGTACCTTGTTTTTGTTTACATATAGAAAATATCATATAACGAAATGAAGTTCAGCAAATCAATAGTAACTGTCGAATCGTACTTGAGATTAACTTTTATTTGAAATTATCTACTTTGAAAGAACATATATTAGTATATATCTACATCCACTGAATATTTTCTCCTTTATTTCTTAAGAAAACCCATTGCGTTAATCACTGCGTGAACTACATTAGGCATGTCGCCTGTACAGATTTCTTGATCAGACGCTGTTCCATCAATGAAACGTATAAAGACGTTCGCATCATTAATACAATAATTAATCTTTTTAATCCTACTTTAAATGATTATTTAAACAGATATAAATATAAACAATAAAATATCTTTCTTTGTTTGTTATTACTGGAATTAACTGTCGCAGCTATTGGAGAAAAAAATTGCATAACTCGGGATATGTATTTTTTCTGCAACAGCTGCTTCCGTTAATTCCAGTAATAACAAACAAAGAAAGCATTTCATTGTTTAAATTAACCTGTGTAACTAAAAACATGACACTAGCCTTGTTTACATACCAAAAGCTTAATTGGAGCTCTAAATCTGTCTTTTATCCGGACAACAGGCGTTCAAATATTTGATGATCATTAGAAAGACCCTATAGTTAAAAATTTGTTAAAAAAATGGAAAAATAAATTTTGAAATTGTAGCTAAAACTGTGTCCATGCCCCTTTAATTACAACTTTTTTTGTTTTATATTCCTCATAAATCTTGTAAGAATTGATATTATAGGACCGTCATTATTTTCATTGCATCAGTCCACAAACTTTTTGACATTTGGTTTGCTTGAAATGTGGCTTTGTGGTTGAACAAACTAGTTGAGTTAACCAAGCTATTAGACGATGCTGATGAACCTTGCACTTAATCTGCATTTCCTTAGTCAAAATTATGCAATCCATAAAAAAATCTGTCTTTCCTTTTGATACCACAGAAGCTGCCAGAAATTAAGTGTTGCTAACCTTAAGTTTTGAAGTGTCAGAGTTGTTGTTATTAATTTCTAGTGCTTCTTCGTATGGCATTCTGTAATGATAAAGATTTATGCAGAATTTACCAACATTTTAAGATAATATTGAAAAAATAATAATACATGTATGTACCTCGAAGTATAAATACCTACCTAATAAAATCTTTCTCTGTCATTGCTTCAATGGCTTTCTATAAACAATCATTAAAATGTCAGTCTTTAGGCTATAAATACAAGCCATGTGAACCTATACACAAAGTTTCTCTCTTTACACTCCATCATGTATATGGTTGACTTATAACGAATTTTTGACAAACTACTAGTAATACATTAATAGTTGTAAATACTTACAATGCGATCCTCTGATACAGAGTTCCTCTCGTGGACAAATTCAATATCCTTTGAAGAAGTATTTAAGGTTTCTTTAGTGATGAACTTTATAAGACCTTCCATCAGCTGAATCAGTAAGAAGTATTTTTAAGATCAAGCTTGTTACTGTAACAAGAGAAGTGAAAATGTATGGCTGGACCTGGGAATTGAACCAGTGACCCTGACATCACTGGTAAGTCACTCCACTGAGGCCAATATCCACGGTCCAATACATTCCTCCCTCCTTAACTGGTCTTTCCCTTTGAAGACACAACCAAAGTTCTTATTTGTCTCTGGAAGGACTTTCACCAGGGGTGGACAAAAGCACAAATTAAGTAATAGGTAAGGAGAAAATGTATGGTTGGACTGGGAATCAAACCCAGGACGCCTTGCCAGGTACTCTACCAGCTACAATGGCCGAAACTAATACACAATAAACATTATGTGTACCCCAGTAGTTAAGGTACCCATCCCTCCCAAGCCCAGTTAACAGCAATTCCTTCTCACCGCTCAATTAATTCAAAGGTCAAGGATAATTTCAGATCAAAATGGAACAAAACATATTTTCCTGTGGTGATATCATGGTAAATCTACCTGTACATTAAAATATAAAGTTCCAGTCCAAATAAATGTTATGCAAAAGAAGCCAAAAATTTGACTTCCAAAATCAATGGTACAGGCCATACTTATATGAAGTAAATATACTATCTTTAGACATCATATGTCAAAAATCATGGCAATAGAATAAATGAGAAGTCTTTTAAGAACAGATGTTTTCTACACTGACAATTATGATTTCTTCAGTTTTTTTGTGCAGGTAATGACTCACTGTTTATAATGATTTAAAATAAACCAATATCAAAGAATAAAAACATTCCAGTTGAGAAAAGCTTTCTGGCACAAAAATAAGAAATTTGAAGTCAAAATTATATATACCTAGGAATTTCCATAAATTAATACAAACAAATAAAAGTATTCTTAGTCCAGTTTAAAACATGGAAACAAAAATTATGACCTAAGGCATAATTGTATGAGAAGAAAAATTACTCACTAAGAAAATTATCCATCTCTCAAAAATTTTATACATAGGATTGATCTGAAGCATCTGTAGCTTGAATGATTCAATTAATGACTTTGCAAATACAATGTACCTGCATGATATCTTCTAAGCAATCAGTAAAGGAGAGTTCCGCTTCAATCATGTAGAACTCTGCCAGATGGTTAGATGTGGCACTTCTCTCTGCTCGGAAGGCGGGGCTAAACGTGTATACTTTACTGATCCCACTGTCATTCAAATTACAGGAAACGATATTACATCTCCGTATAGGGCTCAGCAACAAAACTTACAAAAAACCTAATTGTCCCAAACTATTTTAATAGTTAATAATAATATTTTGACCTTAAAACTTTGACTATTAATTCAAAAGTTTTCTTACTTTAAATGCAGAAAATATAATTGACATCACATAAAAACAAATACATACCATTGTATCAGGGGTCACATACCTCAATATGATACTTAACACAAGCATGACACATTTGATTATAAATGTACTGGTCAATGATTAAGAGAAGCAGCTCAGTTATGTAATGCTGAAGAGTTAATACCTTGCCATGGCCTCCAGGTGGAGCTGTCCTGACACAGTTAGGAATGCCTGACTGTTGAAGAACTCTTGGACAGTTTTCTTTTCATTGCTCTCAGTTTGTTTGTCTGAAATCTGCAAGTTTTATATCAATTTTCATAATTGTTGATAAAAACATTCTATGTACAATTAAGTCTGAGAAAATCATACATAACAATGAACACATGCACATTACAAAAGTACAAAAATAATAAGGCAGTAAATGCATATAGATTTACCTGAACAGTGAAAAGTTGTCCTGCACCTTCACAGTCATTTGATGATAAAATAGGTGTGTGAATAAATATGTATCCATTCTCCTAAAAAAATAATATTTTTTTATATTTATACTTACGTTAACAACTGTTTACAACTTTACTTTGCAACTATACTGAATAACATTTGTATTAAATGTGTTGTACTTTAAATCACAGTTTCTTGTAGCCAGGTAAAATCATGACAAAACAAGTGGACGTACCTGGAAGTACCTGTGTACAGCCATTGTAACGGTGTTTCTGATCCTCATTACGGAGGAGAACAGACTTGTTTTCGGTCGCAGGTGAGGGTATTGTCTTGTGTAATCATTAGAGTGAATCGTTCTCGAGTGAAAAGGATATTTCTGAAAATGTTAAAGTCAATTTCATAAAAATTTACATATTTCATTTTAAACACTGAGAACTATTGAACTTAAATTAACTTTTATCACCACAGGTATATACCAGTGCATGTGTATACAAGTATCCATCATACAGGAAAGGAATTATACATAGTTATATATTGTATTCAATGTATAAAGACAATAGCCAGTAATTTATTTGCTGTAATGAAGATAAGGTAATAAGCTTATAAAATGTACATCATAGGAGAGAAGAAATGTACATCTACCATTACTTTATGATGAATCTGTGTATTACCTGTAGTTCACAGAAGCCATGAACTTTGATATCTTCTGCATGGAACTCAATATTCTGCTTCTTGGTAATACTTTCTTGAAATTTTCCAGTCACAGTTATACAACTGCCCGCAGTTAATTCACTGTAAATATTTCACCAATTATATCATAATAACCTAACTGAGATATAATTTAATTTTCATTTTTTTAACAAGAAACTCGTACCTTGGGCATAACCTAGGATCTGCAACAATCTGTGTTGTGGATAACTGTGTCCCTTCATTGACATGAATGAAAGTTACATGTTTCTGTTTTCTGATATGGCGAACCCAACCCTATTAAAAATAAAAAATTATGGTTTCCATTCAAAATTGAAAAAAGAAGATATTTTGTGCACTGTTGGGGTGAATTTCTTCTCTTTCCAGCATTGGTCAATCAACTACTTTTCACTACCTAGTTCAAGACCCATCTTATATTCAACCTGTATAATTTATCCACCTCCCAACCCTTTATAATTTTCTCTAAAGACTGATAAACTCGCTTGTTTTAAATTTTGTGTCATCTGACAAAAAATTTTTTAAAAGCCAGTAAATCTGTCTGTAGAAGTGACTAGAAAGGTTGTGAAGTAATTGAATATACATCTTCGTTAAAGTAACTATGTGTCTAGAATTATAGGGAATGAAAGGTAGATGATTGACCAATGCTGGAAAGTTGAGAAATTCTCCCTTACAGTGCACAGAAAATCTTCCACAGAAAATCTTGCACCATAAAATGCACCTTTTTTGCATTACAGGATTTGTAGCATTATGATCATAGACTAATATATAAAACCATAAAGCCACAATTCTGCAGCTATGCTTTCAGATGATAAAACAAAATTGAAATAGTACAATTTCTATGCAGTAGTATTCCCAGAAGATCCTACTGTAATGTCAAGCATGAGTATTCCTGTTTAAAAGGCTCACATATTTGCTCACACCGGAAAGTGCTAGCAAAAATGAAACTATTTTCACTGCTAATTAGTCCGAAAAATCTGATGTTTTCCTGGCTTTTTCACGATTTTGATATTTTACATGCCAGGAAAACGTCAGAACCGGCGCCATTACGAAAACTGGGAATTCGCCACCTCCAACCGGAGGCGGCATTCTCAGGTTGATTTTCGATACTTGCAAACTGAATTAAATGCTGAATTTGCATTTTATCAATAGTACAATACCTTTAGTACTCATCAACAGTACTCATGGTTCATTTATGAAATAATATAATCCGATGAAAACATTTTATCTGACTGTCGAGATTTGTTTTCATTTTGTGCATTTTAAAATCTTGCAACTTCGGATCGGAATATGGAGTGGTAATTCTTTTCATCGATATTGATGAGTTCTAGGAGCATTGTGCCATTGATAAATTGTGATTTCTGCATCTAATTTGGTTCCCAAGTATAGAAAATCAACTTCGGGTGGAGACGGTGAAATTCCCAGTTTTCGTAATGGTGCCAGTTCTGACGTTTTCCTGGCATGTAAAATATCAAAATCGTGAAAAAGCCAGGAAAACGTCAGATTTTTCGGACTAACTGCTAATAAGCTTTGTGATATTTTGTAAGGGCTTTTGGTTCAAATTACTGTATGACATACCATGGATTTGTTATTTTAAAGAAGTTGCTAATTCCCTACTGACCTCTTATTTGTTATCGCAAAATTAAAACAACAGTAATAAAGCACAGTTAATGAGTAATGCCACAGTACTTTAGATACACCATTCTGAAACCCCCGGCTTGCACCACGGTGCATTCCACTGAAAAAGTGGTTCAGCTATGTACTTCTTTGTTTTACGATGGATACAGTGCTGCTAGCTCGTCTACCTTTTTAAAAAATAAGCTTGTCACTTGTCAGTGCTATACACGTAGTTACATTCTCAATGTAACTTGCTGAGATATCTGACAGTACTAGACCTGTATACAATGCACAAAAACGCTGAAAACATAGTTAATTAATATATCTCTTTAAGAAATCAGCAGCAGTATCATAATGACCTTTAAAACACTGTCATTTGTACATCCACTTGACAATCGCCTAGCGCTGAATCGCTGCAAAAACCTTTGACAGTTTGAACAGAGTAATTTCATGTTTGTCAACATGGGCGCAGACATATTTACATGCCGCAGCTAATAATATTGAGAAACATATAAGAATTAAATATATGAAACTTGGTAATGATATTCCGGGATGAAATTTTATTTTCATTCCTAAACAAATGATAAGATAATGTTATATTTTTCTTAAAATGTTTTTTTATATTCCTTTAACTGCGTAACTTTAATGTCATGTGATGCAAGGTGAAGGTCGTTAAGTGTACGATGGGTTGTTGTTTCAGCGACAGCAGCGATAAAGATGGAGATGATTCATATTCGGTAATTTAAACACACTAAATTTCTGTGAAGTAATGGAGCTTTTTCATAAATTGTTATAATACGGAGGCTTCTACTCGAGAGCTACGTATTGGTATGTTAAGTTCGAATTTTCTCTATGCGGCAGAAGAAAAAAAAATCCTGAAAATGTCTCTAATGTGTACTACTGACATTCTTAAAGTCAATGGGCGGTAAATAAACACTGAAAATAATTATTTGTGCTTTCTGGTTACAAAACGCCATCTTTTTAAAATTAAATGTCTCTGTTTTGATCATTAAAACATTTCAGCAGCATCTCACTTTGAATTTAGCAGGTCCAGCACAATCTCTTGATTAAGCTATATAGCCTGATTTAGCTATATAGCTTTATTAAGCTATTCAGAATAGCTTGATTAAGCTATTTTCTCAGACTTTTTTCTCAAATGCATTATTTTTTCAACATGTGCAAAAAGTCGCACCTAGGTGCAGTGGAAATATTAAACTTTGCTCTCTTATAGATACAATGCATGTAAAAAATACTCACCAAATTGCGTCTCCTTGAGAGACTTTGTACTCAAAGTTTTAACAGTTTTGGGGCTATTGATGAGTGACTACACAGTTATTTCTTGAATGAAATTATAAAGGAGGCCAGTTATGGCCAACAGGATAATTGATTAGTAACAGTTCAGCACAATGAGAAGCAATCATACTTACCCACGCCTCACCGCACACACAGCTATTCAAACAATGGAAATTCATATTTTGCTTCAAGTATTCAACAGCAGCAATGTAAGAACTTTCTATGATTTAGGTTGTATTTTTGATAGTCCATAGTATAGTACATATATGAATAGTCAAATACTTGCGACTTTTTGTTTATTTCTGTCAAAAAACGTTTTTATGAAAAACTGCATATATTTTAATAGCTTTATCAAGCTATTTTGAATAGCTAAATAAAGCTATATAGATATTTCAAGCTATAAAGCTTAATCAAGAGATTGTGCTGGACCTGTTTAGGTGTCCATAAACACTTGAAATGTCAATCCCAAATAACATATATGCATTATAAGGGAAAACAAAAATCCATGACTATCATTTAAGTCAAGACTGGTCTATGATAAAAGAACTTAAGTTCTATCTGTGTCTTAGGACAGTTTAGAATATGCCCCATATAGATCTAGTGGAGAGGAGAAAATGCAGCAGACCAGACCAGAATTCAAACCTGGGCCCTCTGAATCTCCGGTCAGGTGCTTTACTGCCACAATAGATTTTAAAGAATGCAAAGGGATTTCCACCAAAGCTGTGATAATAGCAATCTAATTCAATTCAGTTTATTTATTGATAACACTGTGAACATATTAACACACAAATCGCATGAAATTACAACAATTAAACAATTAACATTATCCCAGTACACATTTCAGTTATATTGATAATTCAAATTTTCTTATTTAAAAGCGCCTTTTGTAAAAAAAAATTTACACACTCTAAATTGTAGGGTTTAGAATAATGTCTATAATAATAATATTTTCTTTCATTAAAAAATGTCAGGGTGGACAAAGTGAAAGAGATCGACTTCTTCCAGAGCCAATCAGTGGTGGCCAATCAGGACCAAGGTAAGTTTTTGTGTAGGAGAAAATGATGTCGGTTCTCCACATCTCAAAATCTAGCCATGGAGGTAGCTTGTTAACGCTAAATGCAATGCAAGACACAAATGTATGTTCCACTTTTAGGCTGTTTCACAAGTATTTTCTATTTACCATGGCAAAGTTTTAAGAATTTTAAAAAATCAAAAAAATAGAAATATAAATCTTATGATAAGTTTTATTAAAATAAGACCAAAATTGTCAAAGGATAAGCATTTTGAAAGAATTCACAGATTTTTTTTTAAAAAGTTACTGGTAGATATTTTGAAATTTTTTTGTGTCCTATTGAGTGCAAAAGATTGTAAGTTTATTGTAGTAATTATTAAATCCTGTTTGTTTTTCCATTTTAAAGCTATAATACACCATCTCAGAGAAATGCCCAGAAAGTGGATGAACCCTCAGCCTTAGAGAAAATATTACACAGAACAGTTAGGTAAAGTATCTATGTGTGTGGGGAAAAAACATTTGAATTATAGCCTTAACATTTTGTAAATTTATATTTTTTAGAATTAAGATCAAATGGCAGATCTCTCTAACTGAAGAAAAATACTATAAAATCAGAACTCTTTAGTGTGCAGTGTAGAGAGGGTTCTTAATACGTTAACAATTTTTCCCTCTTATTTTACATCTAGAGTATGTCGTGAAATTCCTATCTACCTAAAAGTTGTTTTAGAAGATTTATACATGTATTTATGGATTTTAACCCACCCCTTTTCAAAAATGGGCATATTTATACTTTGCACTTGTTATCAGTTGGTGTGTGGTACATGTATGTCTGTTGGTGTTTTGGTAAATCATGTTTTGTGTGCTCAATCTCTTAAGAATCCTTTGCTTCACAGACTTCATACTTGGAACACTGATACCCCCTGAGAGTAAGATAACCCCTAATAATTTTGAGGGCCAAAGTTCAAGAATAATTATCCTAAATATAGAAAAAAATGTTCAATATCTTGAGAAACAGTTGCATGGCATACATCAAATTTAGTGCAGAAGTACACATGTACTTAGATGAACCTTTAATCTGTATGAGTTCACATGTCAAAGGTCCTATAAACTTCTCAATGTCTTAGTTGACACACATGAAACTTGGTGCACTTGTTCCCCTTAAGGAGTATATGATACCAAAAGAAAAAAAAAATGGAAAGAAGAATTACTGTCTTATTTTCTTCAGGAAAATAATAGATGTTTCTCCTGGTGATACTGTGGAGCAGCAGGAATACAATGATAGAGCATTTCAGTACAGGTGTGTATAATACCAGTACATGTATATATGTTGGAACAAAAAAAACCCAGAAAAATACCATCTTTGCTAGCCAAGGGTCTGTGATGCACTACTCTCCTCATAAACCCTTGGGTTAGAAGGGATTGTTTTCATCACATGACCTTACCAGGTACACACAGATTGCATCATCAACAGAAATAGAAGCATATTTAGAAAAAATAAAGTTTAAAAGAATAATTGATAAGAAGTTGTTGGGTTATGTTTATTTGTTATTTAAAGCACAAATCTTCATCTTCAGTATAGAATCTTAATCATATAATTTGGACGTAGCTGAAGATATTTTATGAAACCAAAGCTACTCATAGAATGACATGTAATCTTACAGTCACAGATCATTATTTTCTTGATTTTTTTTTTATTCCCAAGATTAAAGAGACAAAATAAATGGATTTTATATTAATCTTAAGAGGCAACTTCTTTTTACCTGACAATAATAATGTTACCAGTTTAATCTTGCTTCTTTCATGCATTTTATTTGAAGTACAAAAAAGTTAATGTTGTCTAACTCTTTTGTAAATTTTATTGACAAAGTATAATATTCCAGGAAAAATACATCTAATGGAGGCGAGTGAAAAGGGGAATAACTCAATTTTCAAGGCATTCTACTTTCCATTATATGCAATATTGATCATCCCAGTTCTTTGACATTGAAAATGTTCTGTAAACAGTTCCAAGTAGAACTATAAAGACATTTAACATGATTTCTAGTTAGATTTTTTGTTCATTCTTTTCACAGCAATAGAGTAAACATGGTTTTAGGCGGCTCCTCTAAAATTAGAGCAAGTCGGCCTCCTTTACCTAACAGCATGACGGCTCCACACAATGTACTTAGTTCTGCACCGGTATCATTAGCTGATATTCAACTGGTAAGATTAGTTTTATTTTCTAAACACATAACAGGAGATTCACTTGTGGAGATGCATTCAAGTTTATTTAAGAGTAAACAAAGCCAAACAATATATGAATTGTCGTATTGTAATGTTCTTCACGGTGAATAAGTAATACGCTAAAAGCCATAAATAACAGATTGACCAGTAACTGAAGAAAGCTGTTACTATGTGTAAATAAAATTAGTGTAAAGTTGTAAAGAGACCTAGTATGAAGTTGTGCATGGAAACATGAGAGATTATTATTAATAATAATAACAATAATCGATAATTAAATTTGTTCTTTCATAGATAACACAGGCAGCAGAGAAAGCGTCCCAGGCCCTGGGTAAAGTGCGGGTACATCACAAGGAAGACTTGGTTGTACCGTTTGGGGTCCCCTGAAGGTTTGATGTCAGCTAAGTTTGTGTTATAGAATGTGTGGACAAAGAATTATGACTGCAGAGACTGATTACGTCAGAGGTTATTTCATTCCATCTTGTGTTACTACTAAGTCAGTGTTGTTCAGGGAGGACTGAAATCACTCTATTTCAGTCTTATTTTAATGATTTTATATGTAGCAATTTTTTTTTTCGTATTACATGATATTCCACTATACCTTAATTCAAACTGTATAGATTTAGATAATATTGTAAATGTACTTCTTTTTTAGTGCCCTAAGCATTGCATCATGTCCATAAATTAAGTACATGCGTATTCATGATTTAAACCATTACTAATCATCTATAAGACTTTTGTGCATTAATTTATAATTTCATTTATCATTTTAAGAGGAGGATTGTGGTAAATTTTGACTGCACTAATTTATGGACATTTACAGTAAGATTACCTGTAATTTTGTGACATTGAATCATATTTTTGCTAAATGAGCAATTAATTTCTTGCCTGTGGATGAAGGGGATTATCTAGACATATACACATTTATTTTTTGTGCAATGTACTTTTATGTGTAAAAATGAGCAGCGCTTTGAGAATCAATTGTGTGTGCAATTTATATAATAGAATTGTGTATATTTTAATCATTTTATCTGCTTTTGGGCTCATCTTTTTACATAGAAGCACATTTTGTCCATTCCCTTCTAAAAACAGGAAACAGTTTAACTGTTGAGATTCTTTTTTGATCAAACCAATCTAAATTAAACTGTCTTATTTATTACCGGTACATGCATGTACAAGTTTTAGCCGTACCCGTTATGTTATGTCTCCATTATTTCCATTTGAGATTTGTATTTTGTGTAAGAGTAAATTCATGTATTGATGAGAGATTGGAAGGATATCTGTAGAATTGCATTCAAAGCTGTGATAAGTTGTGGTACATATATTGTAAATAATCTAATGGTACTGCTATGGCATGCTGTTGTGTTCAGTGAGGGAGCTCTGGTGTGTGAGAGAATGCCACAGTTTGGATTCACGATGATGTCACCCCAGCACAGCACGCTTTGTTTCCCTCTGGTCTTGTATATAAATAAGAATACAGTATTTATGGTGCATTTAAATTTGACTTGTGCTGTACACAATTGTACATTTCATCTGGCAGAGATATACATATATAATTTGTAATATATGATGTAAGAATATTATGGTTGGTAAATAAATGTATACATACACATTATCATATTATATCATTGATCCATAATTTTTTTAAGGCTTATTTTATCATTCATGATTTTAGTAAATTAAAGAAAATGTTTTTTTTCTTCCATTTGTACTTGGACTTAAGAATATTAATGTCCAAATAAACATTTTTTTTTAAAGGTAGGTCATATTTTAAATGTACATACACTTGTAGGGGAAGTACGAGCTTTGAATTAAAAGGGAATCGGGGGAAAATGGATATACAGTGTATGTGTATTTAAAAATCTCTCTGTCTGAAAAAGTGTACGCACAACATTTTTTGTATGAATCAGAAACTGGAATGAAACATGAATTAATAATTACCTTGAAATTCTAGATTGACAATAAGCTTTAAATCTCTGAACCATTTGTAATATGTTGGACTCAAGGTATGTAAAATTTAAAGCATTAGGTGGAGTGGACATGAAGATTTTTTATTTACTTGAACCTGTGTATTAAAATGTATCAGAGTTTTGAGGAAGGCTTTTCCTTTACATACAAAAACAACACACACCCTTTGTTAGTGCTTGGTGTAAGTATGAGTGCATCAGTGTGTAGTGTTCTTGGTGTACACATTGGCTTATTATGCAATTGATATCAATAATAAAACAAATTACCAAAAAAAAAATTGTGAGGGCATTTTATTAAAGCATATATATTTAGAGACTGGAAAATATTAAAATAACATTTATATATGTAGGTATCTTCTTAATGTACTCCATTTTGTCAATAACAATGGTCATTTCCATGCTTCTGTTGATATGATATATCCCAGTAAGCTTAAAATAAAAGATACCACAGAGTCTGACATATCTGTTTCACATTTGGATATCTTATTAGAAAAAGATGTTAATGGTAATCTTACAACCAAGCTTTATGATGACTTTAACTATTCAGTTGTCAACTTCCCTTATGCAGCAATATACCCTTGTCACGTGCATACAATATATCTCATTTGAGTCGATGTAAGAGCATGCTCTATGTCTGAACAATTTCAAAAAGGTAAGTTATTGACAAGCTGATGAAACAAGAATATCAGCAGTCTCCTTTAAAGTCATCATTTTGTAAGCTCTATGGTCAATAAAATGTACAGCAAAAACAAATTATCATTAATTACGTCAAATGCTGACTGATGTTTTTCATATTGTTAAGTCATCATTTACACAATGAATTATCAATGGATTTCCCGATCATGACATGGAGAACATGGCTAATGTGACTAGTTGGCAGGGGATGCTCACTCCTCCATGGCACCTGACCCCTCCTCTTATCTTTTAAGGTCCGTGTTTGTTCTGCACCAAAATTTGTCTTGTTTGTATTGACTTCTGAGCTTAAATACTGCTTGTTATTTCCACATATTTCATTTTATCAGGATCTGCATTAACGGAAATTTTACTTGCATCATATTACCCAGAAAATTAGGGTTTTTTAATCTAATTATTACTGTAATTGAAATAATTCAATTTATTTATTGACATCATACAGTCAAAACAAAAAGTCAAATGAAATAACAACTACATGTACCAGTAATTTTTTTATTTCAAAATAGTTTTCTATTGTTTTGTTTTGATTTCAGGGATTGGAGCATAATAAAATACATGAAATATTGAGATAACCTCAAAATCAATTAAAACAGTACAAACCAGGAGCAGAGCAAATGTGAACTTCTAAAGCATTAGAATTGGGATCAGGTATCATGGAGGAGTGAGCATCCCCTGGTGTCTAGTTACAGAAAATTCAGTGTTTAAATAATAACCTTACACTTAATATGAAAAATGCCCATAAGCATTTGACTTAATGATAGATTTTATTTGCTGACAAGGTCATTGTATCGACCAAATAACTTACGAAATGATGACTTTAAACGAGACTGCTGATATCACTTCAAAATTTACTGGTTATTGAATTCTTATCCATGATTATGGACAGCAGAAAGGATAAAAATACAATTTCAAAAAGAAAATCAATTGTAAAACTATACCCAACAATCTTTTAAACAAAATGACATGACAGATCTGATCTTTATTACATAACAAACTACATGTATCATTCCTTGCAATCTCCTTAAACCTTGAACTGTAGGCTGGACTAGCATTTTGAAAGTAAATGGCAGAAATTTCTATTTTTAGTAAACATGGTAACACCGTTCATCGAAATCAAAAACCATATATAGAATCATGTATCTTAGTGTAGTCTACTTGTATGCCAAGTTATATTGAAATCAGGTCAAAACTGTAGGAGGAGTAGCATTTTGAAAGTATTTCAAAGAATTTTCTTTTTTTAAGTAACCACCGCTACACCGTTAATCAAAAAACCGATACACTGTCACAGAATTATGTATCTTAGTGTAGTCTACTTGTGTGACAAGTTATACTGAAATCGGATCAAAACTGTAGGAGGAGTAGCATTTTGAAAGTATGTTAATGGAAATTAAAAATCGATACACCGAACCGTGCATCATAGTGTAATGCACTTGTGTGCCAATTTCTTTTGAAATCAGACTAAAACTATGGCACGCCAAATTCACAAAAATGAGCTAAACATGGTTTCACAATTGATAAACTAGGTTTATCGACTGTAAACTATAGTTTACAAACCGTGAACTATAGTTAACAATTCATTAACTAGAGTTTTCATCTGTAAAACTATACTAAACGGTTGTTAACTATAGTTTACGAATGCTAATCTAAGTTTATTTGTCTGTAATAAAACGTTAACAATAGATTTTGTTTACAATCGTGAACTATAGTTAAGAGTTGTTAATCATAGTTTCACAAATCGTGAAACTATATTTATCAGATCGTTAACTATAGTTAAGAGTTGTAAACCATAGTTTACAAATCGTGAAACTGTATTTATCAGATAATCTATGTTTTGCAATCGCAAATGTTTGTTTTCAGTGTTAAGTATAGTTTACGGTTCTGAAACATAGATTATCGCGTAAACTATGGTTTACAGATGCAAATTATAGATTAACGTTGTAAACTATAGTTTACACTCTGTAAACTATAGTTTACAACTGATAAACCTAGTTTATCGACCGTGAAACTATGTCTAGCTCATTTTTGTGAATTTGGCGTGCCACATTAAACTGTTGGAGGAGTAGCATTTGAAAAATTGTTTACAGACAGACAGCTAGACAGACGGACAGACGACGGCACATTACTATCGCATAAGCTCTTCTGGGTCAATTTCCATGGTCAAGGTCAACGACACAAAACTAATCGTGGCCAGTGAAAGGCCTTGTCACAAGAAATATACAACTGAAGTAATAGATCATAATAAATATGAAATCCTTTAGATATGCCTACGTTAGCAGAAAATTGTGTAAATGAAATACTCAAGAAATGCAGTAATTATTAATTTACCACGTGCTTGATATGTGTTCAATGCACTTTAATGTCTAGTCTAGCAAAATGAAGCTATGAAAACAAAAGATAATGGTGAAATTAAATTCTTACCGTTCAAACCCAGGATAGTAAACATATTGTTTTAATAATTATATAGACATTATTTAAGAATTATAATTGTGTTATTGTTTTTACATGAGTTTGTATTGATGACATTTAGGTGCTAGACTGTTCGCCTTGCCTAAATTCCTAAATCTGTATGCTTATGAAAACAAACTAATTTAGGAGGCTGGGGGTCAATAAATTAACCATCAGATATTACTTAATTTTTAAGATATGATATCTTAAGCTGTAAATTATCATTTGGCAAAGAAAAATTTCATACATTTAAGGAATCACTGTCTAGTTAGGAGAGTATGCCAGGGCATCAACAATAGTGGGAAACATGGCATAATTTGCATAACGGGCGAAGCCCGTTATACTAAAATTATCCCATGTTTCCCACTATTGTTGATGTCCCTGGCATACTCTCCTAACTAGACAGTGATTCCATATATTTTCATTTCATTGTGAAATAATGGTAGATTTAGACTTTAATATTTCCATTTCTAATTTTTTTCTCTGCGATAACTCTTTGAAAGTTTGAAAGTAGACTTAATTTACACGAGGACTTCCATGCCAATTTCAATAGTCCTCGCCCAATGACGTCAAACACCTAGGCAGCCGCACGAGATTTACATGCACATTTTGCCTCCTTAGCGTCAGACATAGAGACAGATGCGCACGAGATTTGCATGCATTTTAGGCCTCCTTAGCTCCTGACCTATCGACCTGCCTAATTTACATTCCGGCAGAATTATCAAGAAATAAACTCCGACAACTTTCAAAGAGTTATCACAGAGAAAAAAATTAGAAATGGAAATATTTTAGTTTTAAAATTTGATAATTTTTGTATATCTTTATATATGGAGCTCTTCTTCTAAAGGAGATCAATATAATCTGAAAATGTCCACGACCACCCAACCCTCTTAATTATGCTAGTATTTTTAAAAAGTATGTTAAACTTTAAGATCTTGTTTCAGGAAATGTTGATGTGAAATATGAAAGCCATATCTCTTTTCATTCACAAATTGTGACCAAGGTTAAGAGTTTTTGTAACAGACTGACAGAGGAATGCGATTCAATGTCCCCTCGCTTTTGCGAAAGCGGGATACAATAAAAGTTATGGCAAAGATAATCTTCTGAATACTGCATCAATCTTCAAGATCAAGGTCATGAGGTCAAATATAATTTAGTCCGAAAGGTCTTGACACAAGTAATGCATACATTAAAAAAACTAACACAATATTTAGTATTTTGAAAAGAAGGTCGAACTTTAGGATAAAGGTCAAGGGGGAAGTCATAATGTATGTTTTTAGGAAAATTCCATAAGAAATACATAATGATTAAGTTTTATGACAGATAAACATACAGAATTTTACCATATGAATTGGTCTTCCGACGCCAAATTGGGGGAAACATATCTCAAAAGCATGTAAAATTACACGTTGTTTTTTCTATTTAAAAAAAGCATGGGATACTTAACCAACTGCAGTTGATGTAAAAAAGAGGCTTGCGTTTCTAATTGACAACATCTTTGTTGGGTAGG